CTGGCAAGCACTGGGATGTACCCCGAAGGACTTTTGATGACTTGTATATTGATCTGGTAATCCACATAGCAGTACACACCCTGAAAGACGTTGTGTTGAGCGTATCGATTCAAGGCAAGACGGTCGCTGTATTCCTCCCAAAAGAACGAACCGTCCGGCAAGGAATCGCTCCAGTTGACTGGAGAAAATTCCCCCGTTTTTTCTTCCGCCAGAAACAAATGTGTCCCTCCAAAACTAATGCCTGCATTTTTCTGCATCAAAATTGGGATTGCTTCCTCGCGGATCATCCTCTTGATCTCTCCCACGGTGATTCCCTTGTCCGGGATTGTCAAATAGACCAAGTCTGCACCCCTCGCTTTTGGCACCCAGACTTGCACATTGAGTTCCCGGAATCCCACAGGCGGCTCCTCTGCGGCAAAACTCCCCAATGTGATTTTATATAATCCATGGACGATCTGTCCTGTTGCAGGTCTACTCCTCTTTGGCTTGCCTTTTACATTGTTCTGTTGTTGACTGCAGAGACTGGCTGTTTCCTTGTCCACTGCACTCGAGGAGCGCCTCTTTTGTTCTACAAAACGAGCCTGATCCGACGCCTCGCTTATATCTTCCATTCCTCGAAGAGCGTTCTTTTTCTTGGAGGCTTTTCCGCGTGCTTTTCTTCGTGCAGAGCCATCCCTCCGTGATGGACAGTTTCCCATCGCCTCCTAAACGATATCGTCTTCCTTGGGCCATTTTCAATTAATTGGCATCGGCTTGAGAGACATGCATCCTGATCAGACTAACAGGTACCAGAACTACTACAGAAGGCGAGCGAGGAAGAAGTATCAACGAAAGGCATGCAGCAGACAACAAGAGACAACAGAAGACCACGAGAAATGAGAATGAGCCCAGCAGAGAGCCAGTCCACAAGAGTACGTCAGCTTGGTCACGAGTCTCAGTCGTGTCATTGGCCTTCGCTCTTCTGTTGTCGCTCTTTTGTGCCTTGACATTATTTCACATGGAACCCTCCGGCCTTTACTAGCTAGTAAGCTGATCACCATAATATCACCATGAACACCAGTACCAGTAACGACAACCAAGACGTCCGCAAAGCACTGCAGCATGCCGTCCAGACAATATGTGCCAAAGTGGAAGAAGAAGAGGACGAACAAGCCGAAGAGGATGACTCTCACAAGATGGGCGCCATGACACCCTCTGCCATTTTGGCGCTCACCGAGTTGACCTATCAGTTTGCCACGACGGCATTGGCGAACGATTTGTCGGCATTTTCCTCCCATGCCAATCGCAAGACCGTTACCGTCGAAGACGTCCTGTTGGTCGTACGCAAAAATCCGAGTATACAACAAAAACTACAGCAATTTTGTGATATCCAAAAGAAGCAACCACAACGAAAAAAGAAACAAGCCAGGCCCAAAAAGGATGTTGAGGTTGACAGCAGTAGCAGTGACAATGAGAGCGACAAGGAAGATTTCTCGGAAAATATGCTTGTGAATACAGACACTGAGAAGTCACCACCAGCCAAGGCAATTGGCAATGTCAAAAAGAGAGCCCGTCCCATTGCCAAAAAACCATTGGCTATTAGAGATGATGATGATAGTTCCTCCGCCTCTTCCTCGGGGAATGGATCAACACCAAAGACCAAAAAGTCCAATTATTTTCAAACAAAAAAGCAGCAAACTGCCATTGATATAGAGGATTCGAGTACCGAAGAAGAAGAAGAGGAAGAAAGCCCGGAAAAGAAATCAGAAATATGCGCACTATTGGAAACAACCATAACCATGGCATCGCCAGACGATGATGACGATGACAGTTACTGAGGTCGCTGGGGCTCAGGTGAAGCTTTCGTCAAAATGGGAGACTCAATGCTATTTCTGGCAAAGGAGAAAATGCAATCTGCAAGTTTGTTTTTGGCATTCTTTCCAAAACAAATCTCCGCATGGTTCAGTGAGCACCTGATCCCACAAAAGTGGCAACAGGTGGATGCCACAATACTCCTTCTACCCTTTTGGATGTTGCCCTTTTCGGTGATCAGACACAATCAACACACCTATAGCTAGCCAAATGTAGGCATTGTGACACCACGCAGGGGCGGTGTAGCACCTTTGGGTTTTCCGTTCAGCCGCGGCCTGGTGATTCGACGTCTTCTCCTTCTAGTGCAGCCAGCGGGATGATACAATACAAAGCAATAGACTTGGAGGGAGAACAGCTTTCGCGTCCTCATTCTTCTCGAACACAAAGCCTGCAAAAGAGATTGTGGCGCTAATCTCATGATGGACTCCTTGGAGGCGTCTCTAGAGTGCAACAATCATCGGGGTCAAGATAGCAAAATTACAGCAGCTAGGAGGAACATCAATGGCACTAGCGAATGGGGAGAACCGGCATGCAGTTGACGCCCAAACATCTCCACACGAAGATAATGAGCGAACACTGCCCTCGGAACTGCAGCGAGAGCACAGTTCCTGAATCACTTTGCCACTTGGACAGGACATGCATTAGGAGTGGGTTGGGTGGATGTAGAGAACCTGATGGCCTAAAATTGGTTGCACTGAAGCGTTGCGTGGATGTTGTTCGAAACGGAACTGGTCGATTTACTTTGCCAAGGGATTGTGCTTGTACTTGTCGCGAAGCATAACTCTAATCTCTACGATGTATAAGCTTGTTTTTTCCACACGCACATTTGCGGTCTATTCCCGACTACATCTTCGCAAATCACTTGAAGTGGAACCCTTCTAGGCAGGAAAGGTTATCAGTGAGGTGGGAGGAACTTGTCTCGGTGAAAACTGCCCGCCATGTGATCATGTATGTTGGCTTGCCCGAAATCGACCAATGAACTAACCCGTGGGCAATGACATCGGAACTGTTACTATTTACCGGTACAGGTGGGGCGACTGTCGATCCTCTTCGGAACTTTTGCTGGCGGAGGAGCTCATTGGCTGAAGAGGAGACAGCGAAATCTTCCACGCTGGAGTGCCCACGATAGTTTTGAAACTCCCCGAGGAGAACCGTTTTTCGGCCGTTTCAAAATTGTTGTTGCCTCCTCCTTTTGGGCTCATAAAAGCAGTGCTCGTCGTCCACGAAATCCTTTGTTTTTCAATTATCCATAAAGGGCCGTCAAGATGGACAAGCTGCAATCTGGGTATGATATTGATCCCGAAGATGGGGACCAGTACTATAAAGGCAAAGACGGACTTTGGTATACGTACCCAGAACTCTCCATCGCGAACCGACTCTTCAACGAGAGGATGTTCGAAGAAGACAAAGCCAAGAGTGGCTTGTTCCCATCGTCGACAAATGGGGAGCCAACGGCAATGGAGCACAAGCCGACGCCACGACCTCGTGAAACTACCAGTGTTGCTATTGCCGATCGTCGCCATTCGAGTCGCGTGAGTCTTCCACCCACGACGATCTACACCAAAGCCCTTGAAGCCCAGGAAGCCGATTCCAACGAAGCCAAGGAGAAGAAGATGGACTCATCGTCGTTGTCCAAGTGCAACATTCCAGCTACCAAATGTGGATCCTGGGTGGAGAACTATCAAGTCCTGGCCGTTTACCAAGACAAACACAAAACGTGCAACGTGCAAAACAAGGTCTGCAAATGGCTTGCCAGATGGGTCCGAGAGCAACGGACGTTGATGGCCGATGGAGAGTTGTCTTCGTCTCACAGGGAGGCGTTGGACAAGTTGGGATTCGACTGGCTCACTAAAGAAGCACGAAATGATATGAAATGGATGGGACACTATGCAGAAGTCAAGGAGTTTCACAAAAAACACAACCATTTTGATTTTGAGAAGGATACATCTCTTGCCAACTGGACTAAATACCAACGTCGGGCGTTCAAGGAAAAGAAGCTGGATCCGAAGAGGACGGCGCTTTTGAGAGCCATTGGGTTTCGTTTGGAGCCGGCTGAACAATCCCCTGCACCACAATCCAAGGACAAGAAAGGCACCGGCAACGGAGGCGACCCACTGTCTGCAGCCAGCAAGTTTGAAAAGCAGTGGATGAATACCTTCAATGAGCTCAAATTGTATCGCGAACAAAACGGACACTTTCGAGGTCTACCTGGAGGAAACAAATGTGGCGTGGGGCGATGGGCCGCTCGACAGCGTGAAGCGTTCCAAGCAGGGAAACTGAATTCAAAGAGGCAAGAGCTTTTGAGAGGCATTGGATTTCGTCTAGCTGACATCCCTACTATGAAGCCTTACAATATCACTGCCCAGTATGCAAAAGCTGGCAAAGAAGCTGACGTTCAGTGCAAGAACAACGATGGTTTCATATCAGAATCAAGCGACGATGAGGACAATGAAGATTTTGAGGGGCTTTCTCTTGCCGAGAAGCGAGAGAAGACGTGGATGAACTTTTTCACTAGACTGAAGATGTTCTACATGCAGAATGGAGATTTTCGCCTCCCAGAAAGAAACACTGACTTGGGTGGATGGGCGCGTCGACAACGAGAAACGTTTCAAGCAGGTCGGCTGGATTCAAAGCGAGAAGACCTTTTGAGGGGCATTGGGTTTCGACTGGATCGTGTCCGTGCGCCTCGCAAGAAGGCTGCTCCGAGTGTTGAAGTCAATGGAGATGATGACGACAACAGTGGGTACAAGAGCGAGGGCCATTCCAACGAAGATGACAATGGGAACGAGCCATGCATTGAACGTTCTGACACGGAGGCAGAGCCCGTGAACTGCCGTCCAGCCTACCAGCGTCCCGCAGCCAAGACTGCCTCACGTACAAAGCGCCAAAAGTCCGAGGAAAGCTTGTCCTCCACTATCAATAACGGGGGCAAGAAAGGTTCTGGTGGGCCAATGCCCAGTAACGTTCAAGCCAAGGTTGGTGGCGACGAGCCTGGGGTGTTTGCGCTTTTGATGCCAATCATTGACGCGTTGGACGATTGGGTAGAAGACTCTTGTTTGGCAGAGTGCGCTGACTTTCTACAGAGGTTTCTACCTGAGGCCGTTGAAGAGAAAGGGGGGAGCCCAAAGAGTCGTCTGCTTTTTGTGGCAGCGCAACTTGATCTTACATTAGATGACTCCCGAAAGTCTCAGGCTGCGGTTACTTATTGCGAGAATTACTTGTTGCACCAGTTGGACAAGGCCAAGAAACAAGTCTGCTGCCAAGATGATAGTCTCCCTAACAAGCGCCGCAAGATAGGGGAGTAGAACAAGTACAGTACATTGAAGTACATGTACTCAGTACAGGCACATGAAGATCAGGAGTAGTACATGCACGATGTACTAGCTAGTATTGGTACCGGTACTAGCTAGCTATCGTAGCTAGCTATCGTAGCTAGCTATCGTAGCTAGCTGGTAAGGTACTGGTACTGGTACCGGTTCCGGCGTATAGCAGCAAGCTAAATTAAGAAAGATAGTATTTGCACGACTCAGTGTCGGTACATGTATGTTCCTTCCAAGAAGAGACCCCAGACAAAGCCGGGCGAACGAGCATTGCCTTCCCTTTCTCTTTGTCAGTTGTCAGAAGAGCTGCTGTACACTGTACCGGTACACTCTGTTATTGCAAAAAGGCATGTTGATAGTCTCGTTCTTGATAGCCACTCTCAATCAGCATGTCCTGCACCCGTTGCGTGTGCTTGCCCGCAAGGGACCCTGATCACCAGGCCCTTTTTGATTGCCTTCCCATGGGAAGGCAATCAAACATGTCCTCGGAAACGGATAACGAGACCAGGCCCCCTGGACTAGTTAGAGCACTTGGTAGATTCGGTTTCAGTCGGCTTGTTTGTCACCAACACAAGGCTACTACTGCTTGTGGACACTGCTACTTGGACTTTGGTCTGCTGAACCGCCTTCTCCCGATGGCAGCAATGTGTGGCATTGATTACCTCCAAACGCCGATGCTTTTTTTACCACACGTTCATGAATACTTTCACGATGGCAACTTCGTTACGATATCCAGCCCAACAGGGCAGCCCGATCCCCAAAAGATGTCGGACTTATGCAGCAAGGTCAAGCCGAACAGGACACAGCTGTGTGCCTATGTTTCTTGTCTCATTTTGAATATTAGTTACGAGTGTTACCGACTTCGTTTCTCTGATGCTACATCGGAAGATAAACATGAGATCGCCCAAAAGGTCCAGGTGGTTTTATGGAGCGCTTCCAATCCGAGGGATGAAGTCTTGTCAACACGCTTTTTCCTAAAAAGCCTTTAGCGTGAACATTGCTGGCTCTTGGGATTTGGAGGAGGCTTGGGATACTCTGGCCGAACTCGACCTTGGTGAGCATGACCAGCGCATCTTTGACAAGATGAGCGCACGAGCTGATCTTTGCCAGAGTGTAGAGAACATTCTTGAGCTCCTGGGAGAACACCAATTGACAGACCATGGGACGTTCGTGGAAGATTTGGTTCCAATTTTTGCGAAGGCACCGGATGCTCTTTGGATGGGTATAATAACATGGTGACGCCAGAGAACAACAAAGTAGAAAGGCGCAACGCGGCCTTGCTTCTTTCCCGATACCGACAATGCTTGGTGCACCACTCCAAAGATGCCAGCAGTCAAAACGATTACCTTGCTTGGTCCAAGCCTCAGGCATTGGAGTTCTTGCGGAGACACAGGCTTGACCCAGTGGTGCCCGTCCCGGACGACTCAGTTGTTGTGAAGCTCGCCGAGGAGATGATAGATATAATCGACGCGGCTCATACTCTTGTCAAACTCGAGGACAAGGATTTGGCATCTGCAATGTTCTGGTTCTTATACGGAAAAAGAGAATCCCCCCACTTGGAAGCCGTGAGCGAGAAGTTGAAGGGACGGATCAGCCAGATCAAACTAAAGGTTGAGCCCCAGATTTCTTCAGGACTTCTTTTGGATGCGCTTTCAGAGTGGGAGCCACCCACAAGCACAGATCATCACATGTTCAACTCTTTTACTCAGTTGATGTCTGAATGGCTCACCTGCCATGGTGCCCTCACTGGTGAGTGCCACTTGAACTGGGACGTCCACAACACTCTTTACCAGGTTGCACGAGTGTATGACCACAACGTTCTTCAGCCATACCGGGACAGGGATAGAGTTGGCGCCATTGGCTGCAAGGCCCACTATGGCGGGCAAACCATTTACTTTCAGGCACTCCGAGCTTGGTGTGGCGACGAAATTCTGAGCCCTACTGGAAGGGAGTATTTCAATCCTTTCGTAGGCGTTGCGTGGTGCCTGGCAGGCCCCAAGGATGAACATCACTTGCAATTCTTGGACAGCTTCAGATCCCCACCCGTCTTTGAAACAATCTGGACGGAAACATCTGCGGCCTTTGATGTCGTTCTTGCCCTGCTCACAGAGAATCGCCGTGCTCTGGATATGGAGGGGACTTTGCCAGAGTACCGAGCTTTGGGGACAAAGTGGAACGACGTGGGATGGAATTCTCTGTCGTAAGGCCACCAAATCCTTACCAAAAGAGTTTGATTTCTAATCGTTGTCAGGTTTGCAATGAACAAGGCGACAAGACTTGCAGCCGCTGTCGCGTTGCAACGTACTGCAGCTGCGAGTGCCAGAAAACTGCGTGGAAAACTCACCAGAAGACGTGCAAGCCGCGGAACTTCTTTGATAATAAAAACATGGACTCGGTGAGTTTTGAAGATATCTTGTCGGAACTTCGAGCTGATCGGGACGCACACCGTGCAATGCTCGAACTCCAAGGCCAAATCTAGCTAGTCCGCTCAAGCTCTGAAGCACCTGGAATAGCCTTCACCTCGCACCGCTACGTACCTGGTACCGGTACTGGTACCTCTTGAATGAACGCCATCTACCGGTACCGGTAGCTGGCTCAAAGCCATCGCAAACCTGTAACAGCCATCCATTTAGAAAACCTACATACGGTGATCTACAGTCCCTAGCTAGCTAGGTGGTTTCGCCAGGTACTGTATGCATGGTGCTGCCCGACCCCGTGAAGGAGGTCAACGTTCCGTTCTCCTTGCGTCCTCTTCAAGGGCCACCAATGTTTGTCTGCACTGCGGGCTTTCGTGAATGGGTCCAGTCCAGGCGCGCAAGAACCAAGGACTCCTTTGCGAAGCTCACGCTACTGTACTCTTGACGCGATCTTTCCAGCGGAAGTGGTACCGGTAGCTACTAGCTAGCCAGCAAGCACAATAGGCAACCCTCGCTGGCCAGCGGGGAACAATCAGTTACACGATCTACCGTTTGGCACTGAAGAACCTGCCTGCCAGCCAAATGCGAAGAGGTTTGGAAAACCGAACCGACACATCAATGCACACAAGATCCAAGCTCATCAGCCACAAAACCAGCAAGGAAGGATAGTGACAAGTTGGGAAAGCAAGAATCTTCGAACAGAGTGGAAAATGGCACATGAATTACCAGATATCGAAGTCCTTGGTGAATGGGACCATGGGATTTGTGATCCGGTCTTTGACGAAGGAACGGACGTCTCAGAGAAGTCGATGGAAGGAGACCCGAAAGCCGTCATGAGCAGCACGCGTTGTGGCAAGCTCATGGGGAGCATCAAGAATGCGGAACAGGCGGTTGAAAATGCCGCAAAAATGGTATTCCAAGGTATGGAACGCAGGGTAGGAGGTGTTGTTGGTCGTCACATCAGCGAGGACGAAGCCAAGACCAAGTCGTCTGAGTAAACCTGCAATGCCCCGCCCAAGCGGTACGGTATGGACGAGTGAACGTCAAGTGAGGAAGAATTGAGGCAGCAATCGTAAAAGTGTGAGCAGGCGGTGTCATTCGACATGACGCGGCAAGGTACGGCAATAGCATCGGTACCTTCAGAGACGGTGCGGGCCATGTTTGTGCATGTTCGTCCTACTGTATTCACGCTGCAACAAAAAACTTGTTAGGGCTAGCGTGGCTGCTGCACGTACAATAATACATTTACATTCAAAGGACCAGAGAGCAAGTTATAAGTGGAAGGCAGATTCGATTCGATTCGATTCGATTCTGTTCATGTGCACACCGGTACGTATTGTCTGGCGAGTAAGAGTAAGTTATAAGAGTAAACTGTTCTGCTTTTCTTCGAGCTGTAGCAAGCCATTATTTGTGATGACGAGATCCCATCATCTACTACAAAGTGGGTGTATCGTCAAATCGATAGATGAGTCCACAAAACCTTGAGGTGCTCCTATAGCTAGACGAAACTATAGTAGTAAGTGAAGGAGTAGCTTGAAGGCGGTAGATTCATGCGTGGAGGAAGGGTGAGGGTTTGATTATCCTATCTAAGAACCCAACTGTCGCCTACAAACAATTCGAAAGCACCAAACAATCCACTTTAATAAAACCAGTTGAGCACGACAGTGTCCTTTGCAGGATTGGAAGCAGGCTGACTAGCCAAGTTGTTCAAAAGTTCATGATCCTGCACAATCTCACACTACCGTACCTTCATCATGTCAAGCAGCCCCCATAGAACGGAATCGTATGCACCACTACCTTGCCAATCTCCTCTTACAACAGTGGTTACTGCTTTCGGATGATAGAAATCCAGCCAGCCGAGACAGGGACCTTCAGCAACAGTGGGTCACGAAGCAGCGAAGCAGCAACCACTCTGTTCCTCCCGTACACTGTGGCAAAGACGCTGACCACAAGACAATGCTGTACATTAGGATGGAAGAAAGGACTCTAAAAACCAAATATTTATACTCATTATAGTTTCACAAAAGGCATCAATAATTGCCTATCTGCCGGCTGCTGTGCAATCTGCGCCATCAGTTTCTGATACCGGTGAGTAGAAAAGATGACAGCCAACTGTTTGGGTTGGTCCTGAAAGGGGCTAAAGACCAATGCCTGCTCAAAGGGAGTTTTGCCCGAGGCAGTCACATTGATGGGGAGATGCAATACCAGTTTGGCATTGGCATTATTGCAAGTTGTCCCGCCCAACTGAGTTCCTACGGTAAAGCCACTCCAATTGGAGAAGTTGCCCGTAATGTTGTAATCTTTGGGTCGTTCCACAGGATCGGCATAGTACGTGTTGCCTCCTCGGGTCATGGCCTTGCGGACATACCATGGATTGTCAAAATGAGGTCGAAAAAAGGGCAACATGGCCACAAAGTTGCCCGCTGCATCAACTGTGGCTTCTTTGGGAAGGCCCATGCGTTCTGCCAAGACGGGTATTCGAACATCCATGTTGGTATCAACTCGATCGATATTCAAGAGTATCAACTCGATCGATATTCAAGAGTTTGGAAAGCTCACATACCAAGATATCATTGGTAGACAAGGTCTGACTCTTGGGAGGCCGCTCACTGTCTTCTGCAAAAACAGCGTCTTGGAATTGGGGAGCTGCATATTCCTCCTTGAGGCGATTTATCTCTTGCAAGTTCACCAGTGTTACAAAGGATTGCAGTTGTCGTCCCTCATAGAATTGTTCCTTCATGGCAGACCGTCCAATGTCCAATCCCAATTTGATTTGATCCATGAGTTTGGCTTCGGGGACGACAGCATCTCGTTCCCGTTTGTAATTCTTGACCAAAGTCTGAAGATCCACCTCTTGTTGCAATTCCAGAGATGACGCTCGCATGTCGTATGCAAGAGGCACAATTTCCACAGGTTGCCTTGTTTTACGATTGGTACTTCCCAAGAGCATGTGGAGGATGCGATGGTATGTATTGCCATCAGCCACGGTGTGGGACATGCCCATGATCAAAAAGGCATGGCGGCGCGTCGGTGTGGGCAAGATCACGACACGAAATAAGGAGCTTTGGGCTTTGGCACTTTCGGGGCCCGTGGGAATGCCCGTGTCAGGATGGGACTTGAGGAGTTTGCTCAAATCGTGATAGGTTCGTCCCGGTAGATTGGGGTGTAGACCGGTGGTGGAATTTGCAGTGGGTCCCTTTGCTGCGACAAAGTTCATGAGGTCGGCCAAGGGAGATCCATCGAGTGTGTTCCACCAGTCAAGGTCGCTGGGTGATTCGACAAAGACGTCCTTTTGGATGCGAGCTTGGAGGGCAGATCGATCCAGATTGACTGGTGTCACTATTTCAAAGTCTCCATTCAGAGGACTGGTGAGAGAGATAGTCCGAGTCTGTTCCAAGCGACCCAGCAGCCATGGATTCGCCTGACAAATCTCCACCAAACGATTCAAAATGGTGGCAACAAATTCGTCGTATCCACCTTCTGCAATTTCAAAGGCGTTGATTGTCAGGATTCCGTCGGGAAGTGTGTTTTCAAAGTTTTCTGTGGGCAACAATGGTGTACGAAGGGTTTCTTCGTTGCTGCTGTTGGTGATGTGATGCTGCCACTGGAAGAGGTGTGAGTGGGAGGCATGGTTTGCTCTGGATTGTCTTATTGATTGTTTGTTGGTAATGCTTGTTTTTGCAATGATGATTTCAGTTTTGTGGGAGGTACTGGTTGGTTTATTCTGGGATTCTGGGTGAATGGAATCGAATCCATGGGCAATGGTTGTATGTTGCATGTTGCATGTTGCATGTTGCATGTTGCATGCCAATAGCTGCATCTGCGTCAACCAGCAAACTAGCTAGCGATGAGAAATTCGTAAGAGTGGGCGATGATGGGTGCATGGGAATGGACTCGACTCCAGCAGAGGTCATCGACATGCAACGAATAACAAAAAAGGAAAGATTTTCGCTGGTTGTTTGGACTGGTGGATTCGATCTTTCGGTTTGGCCCTTCTTCTTGGGTCCTGTTTGTTCCATCGATCAGCTCACTCTGCTGGCTCAAAACTCGCTGTCCTCAGCTTCCGTGCTCGAGATTTTGCAAGATAAGCCAGCGGAGCTGTGTAACCTCGGCAGAAAGGTTTCAGTGTACATAGAAGCAGGGTATTAGCTAGCTAGCTAGAAGCAGATACATGTAGTGCTTAGCTAGTGCTTAACTTGCGCTTAAATAGCTAGAAGCAGATCCCCTAGCTAGAAGCAGATTCCCATAGCAAGCTAGAACCAGATACCCCAAGCTAACTAGAATATTAGTTAGATAGCTTTTGCTAGCTTTAGAGTTTTTCCTTGGTAGAAGCAGATCCCCCTACTAGGATGCATGTAAATAGCTTTAGCTGGTTTAAAAGCACCATCCTAGCACTAGGATACTATTTAGTTTTTGCTGACTTATTTGTATTCTAACCCTACCCTTATACCTGCAGGGACCACCGTAGCAGGAAAAACAATTAAAGGGGTTGAGGGCTCTGGCAGCAAGACTGCCGAGGTAAATACTATTTTAAAATACTCCCCTTGTTCTCCCAAAGGAGTCACTATGTCACTATCATCCATCCGCCTTCCACAGCGAAACAACATGAGGATCGAATCATGGCGTCGACTTCAGGAACCAATAGCAGCAACAGTGTGCAAGAGCGCAGCAAACAAACATCCAACAAATCGGCGCGGTCTTCGCAATCGTCGATTCAAAATCTACTTGGTGGACTCCCCAAGTCGTCGACTTCTTCGTGGCAAAAACATCACTGGGGCAAGCATTACTGGGACGGCAAATCGAATCGATGGGTTCAAGCTTGCACTGCCGTCCGCGGCGGTCGTGTTCTGGTGGTCTGCGTCCTGCTGTTTGTGGCCTCCTTACTCGGTTTTGTAGCCTTTACGATTCTGACAGAGGATGAACAGAATCTAGCCGAGACGCAATTCCGGTCCATCAGTCAACGAGCACTGGTCGAAGCCAGAACTATCATTCAGAGTCGACGAGACGCCGGTGTTACCATGTCCAAGATGTTGGCAGAGCTGCACCCCAACGCCTCTCAGTGGCCCTTTGTACCAGTATGGGGCTTTGAACGTCTTGCCGAGAGCTTGCTGCACACAGCAAATGGCAGAGACATGGGCTTTGTCCCCTACGTACAACCTTCTCAAGCAACGGACTTTGAAGTGTTTGCCCGCGGTGTCTATGAGAAACTCGACGCCAACGCCACCCAAAAACGCCCAGAAATCTGGGCCACCAACCTCAGCACGACACCACCCACTGTTTATCACGACACTACTGGCGAAACGCCCTATTCCAGTCCGTATCAGATCTTGACACCCATCTTTCGCACGGATGAAGGCATGAACAACACGATTCTCTTGTTCAATCCCCATTCTCAGCAGCTTCCCGGACGGGCCATTGATCGGTTGATTGCGTGCAGCAAAAAGCGACATCAACTCCAGCAGGAAGCGCTCAATGCGACGGGGGAACCACTGCACGACGATATCAGTTGCGGTGTTCTGACGGGTTTCTTTCCCATCATCCGATTCAAGAGAAGATGGGGTGCGGCTCACTTTTATCCAATCTACCCTGTCAATGATCCTTTCACAATCGTGGGGCACATCTCCTCAATGTTTGCCGTGGAGGAACTATTGCAAAACGCCTTTGCGACCGAGGTGGATGGAATTGATGCCTGCTTTGAGACATACGATCAAGCCGTGACCTTTAGTATTCGCCATGGCGCAGCATACTTTGTGGGAGAGGGCAAATTTCACGATCCCAAATACGAGCACCAGCAACAAACCATTGAATTGTTAGACCCGACCATGTATGCCGATGCACCCCTGTCTATTCAGTTCCGACTGACACCCAACGACGATTTCTACAAGATCTATGAGACTAACAATCCAGCCTATGTGACACTGGGAGCTGTTTGTACCATTCTGGTCACTTCCCTGGTCTTTTTTCTCTACGACTTTTTGGTGCGGCGGGAGTTCCATGCCAAACGAGAACTCTTGGAGGCACGGCGGCAGTTTATGCGCTTTGTCTCGCATGAAGGTAAGTTTCAGGGAGTCGAGAGAGAGTGAGTAGGAGGATCAACCTGAAACAAAGAACTCACTCATTTGCACCAATGTTAACAGTAAGGACTCCGCTGAACGCAGTATCCATGGGCCTCGACCTGATGCAGGCCGAGTTAGCCCAAGCATTGGGGTATGAATCGGCTACCAGCTTGAGGGCCAGTGGTGCCTTGGACGAGGAGGATCCCTCGGACAGAACAGACAATGGAAAGAATGGTGGTCATGACTGCAATCAAGTTCCAACAGGACAGGTCAAAGAAGCCCTACTACGAGCATCATCAACAGAGATTCCCAATGCATCCAACCATCGACATGGTTCCTCCTCCGCCACCTGTCTGTCGAGCCAGAGGGCTCTTGACTGGTTCCAGTTGACCCAGGAAATCCAGGGCAATACTCAAGGAGCTGTTGACATCTTGAACGACATTCTCAATTACGACAAAATCTCGCAGGGGAATTTACAGCTAGGCACAGAAGTCATCTCTCTGTGGGAACTGCTGGAAATTGCCATTCTAGAGTTCAAATTGTCTGCTTCCAGCAAACAGGTGCAGTTGGGTATCTCATTTGGCTGTGAGAATGATGCCGATAGTGATGAAATGGCTGACAAGGACGTCGAAGCACTGATGCAACACCAGCAAGTCAAGATCTCACGAGCACTAGATCTACCAGAGGCAATCGCTGGCTTGAAGGTCATTGGTGACTCTGTTCGACTCACACAAGTGCTTCGGAACCTCATGAGCAACGCATTGAAATTCACCCCTCCACATGGGTGCGTGGAGGTCTTTGCGACGTATGAACCTTCCGAAAAGTCGCTTAGCATTATGGATCTCAGCACGAGAAGCACCAAGGCGGAAGAGGGGCAGCAACGAATCACATTGGACAAGGGAGATGCGGTCACGGCCATGCCGCAAGGATGTATCAAGGTGAGAGTGAAGGACACGGGGGCTGGAATGTCAGCCGAGCAACTCAGCAAGTTGTTTAACGATGGAGTTCAGTTCAGAGCCAACGAACTGCAAGCTGGACAGGGAAGCGGATTAGGATTGTTTATCGCAAAAGGAATTGTGGAACAACACAAAGGTATTCTAGTGGCAACGTCAGATGGGATTGGGCACGGGACAACGTTTGAAATGAAACTGCCATTGTGGCAACTTGTCCAAACAGACGGCGAGAGTCGAGTATTGTTCATCAATCCCGAAAATCTCGAGATTCCCACCGCCGAAGACAATTCCGAGACTGGTACGAGAGCTTCTGCAAAGGATGAGTCGACACTGCTGGATTCTGTCAAGCCAGACCCACCAATTGATACTACGGAAGAGTTCAAACCTGCCGAGGAAACTGCTCCGCCGCCTTGTTTGTATATTCTGGTAGTGGACGATGTCATGTCGAACCGAAAACTCTTGAAAAGGCTGCTGGAGCGGAATGGGCACCAGTGTGAGGAAGCAGAGAACGGTCAAGTGGCTGTTCAAATGGTAGCACAGGCAGCATCCCGGCAAACACCGTTCGATTCCATTCTGCTCGATTTTGGTACGTGATCTTAAGTGCAAGCTTGTGTTGATACCTGCAACTGCGAATCGAATCAATCAATGCATGGCTCAGCGTTATAAGTTTTCTTTGAATCTGCTGCAGAAATGCCCATCATGGACGGACCTACCGCTGCCAAGGAAATCCGTCGCCTCGGATTTGATAAATTGGTCATAGTGGGTATCACAGGCAACGTCCTTCCGGAGGATGTAATATTCTTCAAAGGGTGTGGGGCGAACGATGTCCTAGCAAAGCCTGTCAAGATTCCCGAGCTGCACGCCTCTTGGATGGAGAACGGGATACGGATACATTGTTCTTCCAAGACGACATAGTTTTATGCTTGCATCGCTAGTACTGTAGCTTAGCGTTAATCGGGGACAAGCTACCCACCCGATTGAATCACCGATGGGGAGGAGCTGATTGATTCACAAACCAGCCAGTCAGTCACCCATGAAGAGGAAACGATTAGATTCCACATCTGGCGCAAGCCGATGACAAGACATCGTCCTACGGTAGTATGGTACCGGCACCGTTCCTTGATCAACTGGCTACCGTACGGTAGCCAGTCCTCATTTCGGACAGCTTCATCTGTCGGTTGGACCTGTTTTTGCAATACGTCGTTTCCACAGCGTGGAGGGTGGAGGACGCAGCGTGGTTTCTCGAAACAGTGCGCCGGGTGGATACACGGACTGCGACACCTTGAGAACCACCGAGAAAGAGAATGCGAAGGTGAAGGCAGGATTTAGGAGTTTAGTGTCATTAGACTGACGTTTTGCTGTCGTGACGAAGATAAAAATTCGGGTTTGGGTTGAAGACTTGAAGTGGATTTGAGTCTTTTGAGTCTAACGGAAGACACTTCTCAATGGTGTGTCATCCGACGGCCTTTCACTTCGCCAAGCAAAAGCGTTCCGAAATTAAAGCACCAGTGGAGCTCTGGCAGTCACAAAATTCTCTGCTCCGGCAACGAACGAAACCCAGCCAAAGTCCTGTTGAAAGACTGGGCAACAATCACAAGAACTCTTTTGCAGGTATTCACATCAAGATAAACTTCTTGGATGAACTGCTAGGCACCCCTCACACATCCTCTCTTTATAGACTGCACATACTGTACCATACAATCATACTATCGCTGAATAGAAAACAAGAATAGAAGCAACCAACCTAGACCTCTCATCCATCAATTCCTTCGCAATGTCTGCCGCTGCCAAGACCGCCCCAGCGGCCAAGAATCTACTCAACTTTCTGGCACCGCCAGCTCGAGTGGCCAGCAGCTTTGACTGGAAGCAAAAGACGGCCGCCAAAGTGTTGGCTGTGGACATTGGCGCCGACCGCATCGGTCTTGCCGTGGCTCCCCACCCGAAATCGAACCAACCCATCCGAACCCTACGACCGCTGGAACTGAAGCGTGAGACACGAAAGGGCAACCGACGTGTCTTGAGCGAGCAGTGTGTCGAGACCATGGCCACGATTGTCGAGGAACACAACGTTTGTGCCCTCTTGGTGTCCTGGCCCGTGCAACACGAAGGCGGAAACTGTGGCAAACCCTGTGGACAAGTCTTGCACACGTTGGATTCCTTGTTGTCCGAATCCAACTCGATTGTCACCAAGAGTCGTCCCGTCTGCTTGTGGGACGATCAGCACGTTCAGATTCCCGCTTTGGATTCCTTTGGTCGAGATCCTACCTTTGGAAGATGCACGGCGACCAAGAACAAGACGCTTCACGTGGCGAGTAAAGAACAGTACACACATCATGACTGCAGCAGTGCCGTGGCTGCCAAGGTTTGGCAAGATTTCTGCCAAGCTCATTGGCATGCCAAAGAGGGAGCGCATGGCAGTAACAACAATCTAATCGAACCCCAGCCAATTGAAGATTGTACCGCGGATGAAACCTACATAATACAACAAGACGACGACGAGGATAGAGAATTGATGGCAATGTGAATGGCCAAGTTTTGATACACGTAGAAGAAGTAATGTATGCCCACATGTGTGGTGACTAGAAGAAGCACAAGCCTATAGACAAGTATTGGTTTCTAGGTCTTCATTAGTAGTATACCGGTAGCTAGCTCTACCACCCTGGTGAATCATGTAGAGGCTCGGACAGCGCTTCATAGGCTCTCTTTCCTGAACCCTAGCACAATCCACCCTTGGAGCTACAGGAGGAGCTGAGACGCGGGAACCAAGGCCGGTGTTGCAAGCTACTCCAAAGGAACGTTCTTGGTGACGCCCTGAGCCATCAACATTCGGCTCACATCAAGAAGGAAGGCAAGCTAAGGCAGATGTCTGACTGACGGAGTCTTGATGAAAACCTTGACATCAGCCATCAACTCAATGCCTGGCTGCCACATCACACAACCTTGCGTGGCAAAGACACGCAACTTGAAGCATCGCCAACAGCTTGCCTTTCATCAACAAAGTTGTTGATCCAGGTGGAGCAAGAGGTCTACACACACCAGATTTTGAAAACATACATAGTCTACATGATGATGTCTGCAATAGACGGAATGCCAATGCTTTATGTGGCCACAAAACACTTTCTTTTTGTGCTGAGTCAGCGAGCGGAAGCCACGTGGCCGACGACAAGCAAAGAGATGAATTGAAAAAACCGGGACAGTTCATTCAGGCAGCTCTGCGGGCTAAACTTAACCCTCTTCCTACTGTATTCAAATCTATACTAAGGATGAGGTTACATTTCCAACGCCCAAATTTCATTTTTTCGTGTCACGCTCAAACAAGTGCCGAATGCAAACAAGAATGAGACCAGAGCAGTCATCTATCGTCTATGCAAACCTAATGAGAAAGAAGCCCTTTGCCAGTTTAGAATCGAGTCGAGTCTATCAAAACAATCGTCCAAGCTTGACCTCGAGACCATCATCAAACGAATAGCAGCAGCGGCAAGCTGGATGGGAAGTGGAGGTGATCTGCAAAAGGGGGAATAGAAAGATCTACTACTACCACTGACCTCTCGTACATATCTGGATCTTTGGATTCTTTCAAGTAGGGGTCTTCTACAGTTTGGTTGCCACATTGTCACATGCTGGACAAGGAAGTGGCGCAGCATCGCTCCACCATCATGTCGACCGAATTTGAAAATGTGAAATATCGTGAACAGGTGGGGACGCTGGTACTCTCCGAGGCCAAGATTGCGTTTCAGCCCAAGAATGCTCCCGCCTTCAAGAGACTCTACTGGAACTGGAGCCATGTCAAGTCGCATCAAGCAGGCGAACCAACGGTTATGCCTTCCAAAAGCAAGAATACTTGGAGTATGATGGTCAACCAACGAGGGACTATCACGGAAAATCTTGTCTTTCAGCTGGACAGTGACGAAGATGTCAAGCGACTACAAAAGGAAGCCTACAAACGCTCGGGTGTCACGCAAATCCCCAAACGATCCTCCATCACTCCGACACAACAACTGCAATCACTCAACGATACCAGTGCGGTGGCCGTCGATCATGGTCAATCGGTAGTGTACAAACAGGGTGGACAAAAGACTCATGTTCCGGCATTTGCACAGCAACAACTCAAGTCTTCGCAAGGAGGCAAAACTCGAACCTTCAAGGGATCCACCACTGTCGTTGTCAGCAACAAGGGGCCTACCATTACGGAACGATCCTCTGGCGATACTGCAGCTTCACCCGATAAGACAACCATTGCAATGGCCACGGGAGAGAATGCCCCCAAACGAATCCAACAAGCAGAAGGCAAGGTAGCGGGGGCGCCCGTACCCTATGTGCCGTCACAGTCACTCTACAAGAAGAAACAAGATGACAAGTCCTTTATGACGCAACAAGAGCCTTCCTCTGCCAATAACAAGTCATCAACATCGTCCGCTCGCATTGCCGAACTCAAAGCACAAATGGCAGCGAATCAGTCCCCAACACCGGATTCGGCGACAACATCGCCCAACAGAACCACATCCTCGTCCTCTCGCATTGCCGAACTCAAGGCGCAAGTGGCAGCGAAACAGTCCAGTCCCGTACCCGGCAACAATCCACAAGGGTCCACCAACAGAACCACATCATCTTCCTCTCGCATTGCCGAACTCAAAGCACAAGTGGCTGCTCAACAGTCCAGTATTGGTGGTCCACCGGAACCAGCTGCACCAGCTGCTGGCTCGAACACTGCCAGTCGCCAACTGCCCACGAGGAGCAGGAGTAGGATTGATGAACTCAAGGAGCAAATGAGAATCAATTCGGAACAGATTGGAAGACCAGCACCTAGACGGGCCAAAAGCAGTGACATGGCAGAACTGGAGAACATTCAAGTCAGTAGCTTGCGCAAAAAGCTGGGCGGGAAGCTACCGGGCAAGCTGCGAGTGCCCGAAGAGCCCAAAGAAAAGAAACTGGCAGACCAGGTGTCCGCCTATGAACCAAAAGCCAAAAAGATTGATCCCCAAAAGAAGAACTTTCTAGAAGCCAAACTCAAGTTGGGTCCACCACCGGGAGGTCAATCCTCCAAGTCAATTCCCAAGGGACCCCCTCCCACCAAAAACAGTGATGGTACGACGCCAAAGAAAATCAACAAGAGCAAACAGAATGCACTCGAATCCAAGCTGGGCTTGCAACTGAAACTGCCACCACCTCGGGGGCCTCCGCCTGATGGAGGGGGAAAGCCAGGGGGTGGGGACAAACCAGGTGGGGAAAAGAGTGCCTTTCAAAAGTACAACAAAGGATCAACAACAGACGAAAATGAAGAGCCAAAGCCCATGGCCAACTCGACTGATACTTCCAAAGCCATTAGACCCAAACCATTGTTTCTTCAGGAACTTGCAAAGGCCGTTCCAGAAGATGTTGATCGTGATGTTGATGCCATTGAGACCAGAAAATCTACTGGTGCCAAAGCGGCAGCAGCGAATCCCTTGATGGGCGAGTTGCAAGCCAAATTGCAAAAGCGACCGGAGCGGAAAGAAGACTTGAAAGTCAACAGCGCTTACAAGCGAAAAAGTTCTGACCAAGACGAAGGAAACCATTCTTCCAATAGTGAGCTGGCGGATATCCCGGCTTTGGCGACCTTGGCAGAAACGGAACGACGGAAGAGTACCAGTACCAAGGAAGTCCCACAATTGGCAACCCTGTCAGCGTCCCTCAGCGAACTCCAAGCATCCTTGTCCAAGCTTCGGAATAGTCCAACTAGCAACAACGATGTGGCCGCTCATGCTGCAGGCGCTGCTGCCGCAGCGGCAGCGGCGGCCGTTTTGTATAATGAAAGCAACAAAAACGAAAGCAATGGCGACAATATGGCGAGGAGTGTCCTTCCGCACACCGGTAGTGGTGAAGAGTCAGTAGACGAAGTATTCGAAGATGAGCCCGAGTCTGTAGCACCGAACACAAAAGAAAACGAACCACCTAAAGGCGCCAACCTAAAGATTGTTGGGCTGGTGAGCAAAAAAGATGATGACGATGAACCATCTCTAATCACCCCTGACAACTTGGAAGAGATGAACAAGATGGCTCCGCCCCCGTCTACCCAAGAAAAACTCTCTGGTTCCAACCGACGATCCCAGCCGTTGGTGAAACTAACGGACTTCACTGATCACTCCAAGCCCAGTTCACTGTCTTCCTACCAAGACGAGGAAGATGACCAGTTTGGTCCCATCAGACTCGATGCTGAAGCGGAACAGGGCGAAGAAGATAATGAAAATCACGTCGCGTTGCCACCGAAGCCCGACACGGAAGATGATCGCAACAGTACCAGAAATCTGATTCCGATATTCATAGCTTGTGCTATGGTTTTGGTCATTATTGGTGTTGCCGTTGCATTCACCCTCACCGGCGATAGCGGCGGAACTAGCGAGACTAGTATCCCCGCCGAGACTCCAGCTCCAGCGGCAGCCCCAACTGGCCCTGAACCTGAACCCGGACACACGTTCGCACCGCAGGCTCCCGTGACACCTGTGGCGTTCGTAACTCCGGCTCCATCTGCTAGAACAAGTCCAGCTCCGACTGTACCCGAAGCGGGTGCCACACCGTCTCCAATCGCAACGGACCTTTCGGGGGTTTTGCCCATTGTACCTGGTGCCGGCACAGACAATTCGACAGCAACACCCACTTTTGCAGTCACTGATGCTTCTCCAACGTATTCTCCAACATTTCTTCCAACATCTCTTCCAACAATTATTGAACAATCAACGCCAAATCCCACTGTTGTTGACGTAGTGACATCCTCGCCAACTAGCACGTCTCTGGCTCCCGATCCCTTTGCATCTGAGTCTGTCACAAGAACGCCCACTGCAGAAGTTGCACCAACACTGCTTCCCACCATAGTAGACCAATCCACATCCAATCCGACTGCTGCCGAAGAGATCACATCCTCCCCTACTAGCACGTCTCTCCTTCCACAAATACCAGTCGCAATTACAGCCACCCCAACCACAGGAGCGTCACCAACACTCCTTCCCTCAGTGACAGACCAATTCACATCCAATCCTACATTTTCTGATGAAGCAACATCCACGCCTAGTAGAATCAGCACAACTCTGGCTCCTGTTCCTTTGAAACCAGATACCGTTACAGTAGTTCCCACTTTTGGTGCTTCCCCTTCACCACTTCCCACCACGGGAGACCAATTCACATCAAATCCAACATTTGCTGATGAAATCACAGCCTCCCCTATTAGCACAGCTTTAGCTCCATTGACACCAGAAATTGTCACCGGAGCTCCCTCTATGGCTACTTCCCCGCCAACTGCAATCCCGGTGTCACCCACAGCCGATACTACAATGCCGACATTCGCGGAATTGACTGCTGCACCCACCTTTGTTGACGAAGGCACTACTACGAGTCCAACGTTACGCGGGACCGCCACATCATCGCCATCCGCACAAACTGGAACCAGTGCTCCGCAATTCGCACCAACTGCAGATCCCACGGTTGCATCAACTCCGGCCATTCTAATCAACTTTCCAGACTACACTGAAGTAGCGTTGGCAGATCCCCTGTCAGCGCAGTCCCGAGCCCGAGAATGGTTGTTGGCAGACCCAAGTCTCGGAAGATATGAGGAATGGAAGCAATCGCAAAGGTTTGCGCTGGCTACGTTCTTCTACTCTTTCAACGGAGAGGATTGGCCCGCCTTTCTTCGTGAGAGTTGGATGCAATATGACGATGGGTCAGAATGCTTTTGGTTTTCAGACTTGGTAATCTCAGTGGGATACGAGGACATCACATCAGTCCCTTGCGACTCGATAGGTCGATACATCAGCCTTGGTGTCTACGAAATTGATTCTGCAAACTTGGAAGTTCACCAGAGCTTTGTCGATTCGTTCATCGGCACGATCCCACCCGAAGTCGCAATGTTGACTTCGCTTGAACGAATGGTTGTTCAGACTGACGTCGAATTTCTTGGCATCACCATGAGCGATCTTCTGCCCGTGGAGCTTGAAGAGTTGGTAAATTTGACGAGCGTTGATTTGTCGCACTGCTACTTCAGAGAATGGGACTTCTTTGTCTTGTCGCAGATACGTTCACTCAAAACGCTAGATCTTTCCTTCAGCGATCTGGACGGTTCCATTTCCGCTGATCTCGGACGGCTGACAAATCTAGAAACTTTGGATTTGTCCAATTCTTATCGATTAGGCAGCCAGTCCATCGCAACTGGGCGGAGTGGCGCAAGCATCATTCCTCCCGAGATTGGGCAGTTGACAAATCTGAAACAACTTTCGCTTTCGGGAAACAGGCTCAGTGGCCCATTCCCAGACCTGGGACCAATGCCATCGTTGGAGTGGCTGGAAATTCGTGGGTCGAAAATTGAGAGTTTCCCTCCCACCGCATACACGAGTCTACAGGGGCTTGATATGGCTGAAAACCCCATAGAAAGCGCGATTCCAACGGAACTAGGACTGTTCACTTCATTGGAGTACTTGGACATGAGCACGGATCTCCTTGTTGGACGCCTTCCTTCCGAACTTGGGATGTTGTCCAATCTTCATACCTTCCACGCGGCACACAACGCTCTAGTGCACACGTTGCCAAGTGAGATCGCGATGGTCACGTCCTTGCAATCCCTTGACCTTGGCAGCAACATGCTTACTGGAAGCATTCCTTCTGCGATCTCCTCACTCAGCGTCTTGCAAATGCTCAATATTGCATCCAACATGTTCTCCGGTCAACTTCCCCCCAGCTTGGGTTCCTTGAGCGAGCTGTCCCATTTGATGCTTCAATACAACGACTTTCAAGGGTCGTTGCCTGCTGCAATATTTAGCATACCAAGTCTGGCCTTTCTCGACCTGACACAGAATCGAATTGGGGGCAGCATTCCGCGACAAATTGGAAGGGCCGTTGGTTTGGTCCGGCTGATCCTGGACTGGAATTTGATATCAGGGAGTATCCCGAGGGAGATAGGGTTGCTGACCGGTTTGGAAACATTCTCGGCGAGAGGTTACACTCTTGGAGGCCAGATACCGGGTGTACTTGGCTCCATGAGATCATTGCAAGAGCTCTGGCTGAGTGGAAACCCATTCACGGGAACCATACCCGCTACACTCGGGATGTTGCCAAACTTGTTCTGGCTCAATCTCGAACTCACTACTGTGCAAGGAGAAATCCCTTCGGAACTCGGCCTAGCACCTTCTCTTCGCTACGTTTTCCTCAACGAGACGGACTTGACAGGCACCGTGCCTTCCGAGGTCTGCGATATGCAGCTACAACTTCTTGCCGTGGACTGTGCCGCCGTCACATGCGCTTGTGATTCGTGCAGTTGCTCCCTAGAGGTAAACTAAGCGGTGTTGGTTCCTGTACCTACTACATTTATCTCTAGTGCGGTGACCTACTCTTGCTGCGTGCCGCACTAGAATCACAATTTCAAAGGGTAGTGAAACACAACATGTACAAACAGTTTATCGTAGGAAGAGCATGATGACCGAGCTGCCCACTGCAGCTGCTGCCACTCTTCTTCGTTTTTTTTTTCTCATTCGCCCCCCTTTCAAGAAAAATCATTTAGTACGGACTGTCGTCACTCAATTGATACCGGTACTTCCAGGTGGGAATGCAATCAAGGTAGGTCGGGCCCGGAAGAGCACGAACAGTGCGGAAAGCAAACACGGTTTGTCCGCTCCTCCTCCTTTGACGAAACATTGCTCTCGTGCCTTGGCCACCTGCAAAAGCTCAAGGAACCAATTGTCATTCCCGACAGCGTAGTTGCAGGGATCCGTAAAAGCTCCAAGACCATAAAAGTTGAGGTCCAGGCGCTCTGAGATCTTGTTTGGCAGAACCGACCAAGAATCGTCAAAATTGAAACTGCAGACTTTGTGGTTCGTGAGTTTGAGAGTCTCGTACACCTCATCTTGCTGCTGAGCCACCGTCAATCGATCGTTGCTTGGTACAAACCTTGTGTTTTCGGCGCAATCCAATATCATGAGATGAGGATTGCATTGCAGTATATTGAAGATGGGGCTGAAGGTAGACCCGGCCGAATCAAGAATAGTTGGCTTTGTGACGTGGAAAAGATGCAACTTTGATTCACCCACCGCGCCACACAGAGACTCAAAGTCGTGATATGTTTCAAGTGTGACGCCTTGCAACCAAAGATATCGAAGGAGTGACAGTCCAGCGCCATCCCGTTTGTCCTTTGCATTCGCACATGCAACCACTTCAGCTATCCAAGACGGCGGAATGTTGATTTTGCACAATCTGAGGTCCTCCAGGGCAGGGAGTGCGCAAATTAGGCCGAAGGTTTCCTTGGAGCAATGGGTCAAAATTGTGACCTTCGATACAGTCTCGTAGTATTGAAGTGCCTCCTGGACTGCAGCGTCAGTAAAATCTTCCGTTCCGTCGTCACCATCATTGCCCATGAAACCCAAACCGACGATCATGAAAGCGCCTTCCTTTTCGTCGGCGTTGACCCACATTCGAGTTGTGTCAAATCTTGCCGAGCTATCTAAGCCTTGGACTATTTCGACTCGGCTCTTGTCGTGAAGGAGAGGAAGTAGGGCAGCTCGCAGGAGAGGCAAGGCCTTGCGCGAAAGATCAATAGGCAAGCGACTTGGAACAAACAGAACAATCCGTTCCAGATTTGGAAGGAGTGAAGTCGTAACCACCGGAAGGTATTCTACATGGGAGAGACTTTGTGACAACAAGGAAGGTGTATCAAAAACGATGGCAAGGTAAGTGCAAACGTTTGGATCAATTTCCTCGTTGTCGAGATAGTGAGAAATTGCTTCTCCTGCCGACAAAGCCTGCTCTGTGCTCTCCTGCTCTTCCTCGCGAAAGTTAAGTACCATCAATATCGTCTCTCCAAGTAGTGTATGGGTGATGCGTAGGAGCGTCATCTTCGGATAGGAGTCCTTGGCAGGCACAACCAACGATGCACGAGATGGCTTGGGTCGAGGCCGTTTGAGACAGAGTGAAAGAGTGGACTGAAGAAAAAATGAGGCCGAGCAACAGCACCGGCCGAGTTTAACGCTTTATAGATCTTCGTAGAGTTAAGGGCTAAGAGCATCTGGCATGAATGAAGCAAATTGCGGGACTGTCACCGGACGTGGCAGGACAAAATCATGGAGACAGGAGGGGGGGGTTAGGGGTAGCGTGATTTGTCCCTCACAAATTTTCACTTAGGCTATAAGTGCTCGAAAATCCACTTAGGCTAAGTGTTTTACTTAGCCTAAGCAATACACTTAGGCTAAGCCATACAAAGCAACTCACTTAGGCTAAGCGAAACACTTAGGCTAAGCGAAACACTTAGGCTAAGTGATGCTCTCCGAGGCATCTCCTCAATAGCACAAGTCTCCTCAACAGCACAACACAAGTCCCTGCAGCAAGCACACACAGAGACACAAGGAGACACAACTATCAACCATCATGCCCCCACTTTCAGCTTCCTGTGAACTGCTCAAAGAGCTTCGCAAAAAAGAGTTTAATTGAGATTCAGATTCAGGTTGCAACTTCCCTGGAGGGTGGTACCATCCATTCATGGCAGCATACTATTAATCTGGCTTCCACCATTGGCTATAATGTAAATACGCAACAACAAAAAAGTGCCAAGAGAGACTCTGTACGATTGAGAATTATTACGGTTCCAGGGCACCTGGAAGTCCGAAAGTGCTCCTCAGGAGTTGTGGGTACAGTTGTACCATTCCGATGTACAAATGATGTTGCTTTCTTGCAAAATCTTGGATGTTCCCGATATTTCCAAATACATGTTCAGTGTATTTACCTACCATCTGAGAGTTGTTGGTCATTAGTTGTGCATTTGGTGTGGCCGACATTCCCTCATTGCATAGCCCCAAAGCACTTGCTGGCACTATAGTTACTATTGTGAATGAGGATCAGCAGTAATACAGAGTTTGTGTATACAACAAGCTGCAGGGACTTGTGCTGTTGAGAAGATGTCTCGGAGAGCATCACTTAGCCTAAGTGTATCGCTTAGTCAAAGTGTTTTGCTTAGGCTAAGTAGAACACTTAGTCTAAGCGATTCACGTAAATCCACTTAGCCTAAGTGGATTTACACACACTTAGCCTAAGTGAAAATTTGTGAGGGACAAATCACCCTACCCAGCTAGTACTGAGTACTGGTACATATGTGGATTGTCATTACCATTAGAGTCCAGTGGAGTTCTCCAGTTTGAGTGAACCAGGGTTTAGAGTAGGTGGATTATCTACGGAATCCATCGAGAGCCAGTTTTAAAAGCAAAGAAGAGTCGAAATTCAGGACTGGGTTCCGTGGGATTCAGAGACAACAAAAATTACGGGGGCCAACGGCTTTGGCTTTGCAGGATTCACAGAGAAATAACCGGTATAAGTAGCTTTCACAAGGGCAACAGAGATGCGGATTTGCAAGAAGAACATCATTTGAGAGTACGAGAACTGAGCTTTGTTGGCAGTGACTGAAGCAAGGCATTGTAAAAGAATCTTGGCTTGGGGGGCAAGCATGCCATCCACAAAAACAACAAGGGGGTGGAAGGATGCGCGGTTGGATTCACACCGGACTTTGTACTTGTCCCCTTCTTTTTTGGTTTTAAAACTTTGATTGGATCTTTGAGTGTCAGCCACTCTTTAGCTTTCATCTTTCTCCCTCGTTGGGTTGATATATGGATAACTTGTTATTTTATTAGTTGTCTCAAGGCTTCCAAACGATGGCGGAACCAATATCAGAGTCCCCCGATCCCAGTGGCGGCGATGGGGAGCCCGAGAAAAAGGATACAAGTCCCAAACCCAAGGAAAAGAGCAAAGCGATGAAGTCCATGCCCTCCTTTGCCCTGCCGTCATCACTGGCCAACCTGTCCGTGGCGGATGCCATGAAGAAGCTTCCCTTGGCCGCTGTGAAATCTCATCACGATGGCGAAGAGTTTGAAAAGGCGGTCGAGCGCTGTATTCCTTCCGAGTTCATTCTGATTGCCAGTCAAGACGATGTCTCGCAATCACAGGAAGATTTCTTTGCCATGGATCACTTCAAGTTGCCTCTCCCCGACGGAAAACGAAGATGGAGCAAGACAGAACAACCTGCCAGTGTGGCCACATGTGCCTGGCTACAAATGATGTACGAGAATCCAAAGGTTGCCGTGGCGGGGAACGACGAAGAAAAGCCATGGAGTACCCTGGAAATCCTAGAAGAGCTCCAGGGACGCATCAAAAAGTGTGCCAAACTAGATGCCAATCCCACCATTTCCTCGAGCCGGCCATTGGGACCACCTCGATTTGACAATGGACAATACCGACCCTATTATGTGGTACCGCCTGACTACACTGGTACCCGACGAGCTCTCCTCATTGGCTGTGTCACGGGAGAAGACGAAGACAAGCCCTTGAAAGGTGCCATTAACGATGTCATGAACGTGAGGCAATTCCTAGTTACCCACTGTGGCTTTGAGCCCAACAATGTCACTATGCTCCAGGACAATTACAGACTCTCGGACAAACAACAACCTACCAAACAGAATATTATGAATGCCTGGGCCACGATGATTGAACAATCTGAGCCTACTGATGTCAACTTTATTCAATTCTCTGGACATGGAAGTCGCTCCGATACCAACCTCTACATTTTGCCCTCGGATTACAAGGACAATGGAAACATCATGGACGATGATATTCTCAACGACCTCATCAAAGCAATGCCTTCTGGCGTGTACACGACGATGCTTGTAGATTGCTGCTATTCCGGAACAGTGGGTGAACTGCCCTACATTCTCAAGTCGGCAGCCTCGAAACAAGAGATCGAAAAGAGGGCCAACTTTTACTCGGGATCCGAGTCGGCTGCTGCTGGCACTGCTACTACCAAACCGGAAAAGACAACGGACAAAACCAGCCATGAATCCAACCAAAAGATCGGAGAGTTCTTTGATATGGACACACGAGAGGAGGCCATTGAGAAAGAAACCAAGGGAGGAGAAGAGTACCAGCTATGGAAACAAGCTCGAAAGTTGAAAACACAATGGATGTACTTTGATCAAGCAAAGCTTGCCGAGTTTTCCAAGAAAGCGGCGGAAATGCTGGAAAAGGGTGCCAAGGTTGCCTACGAAGAAGGCTCGAAAGCGGCTGTTATAGCCTACGATGCCTCCAAAAAGGGTGCCAAGGTTGCCTACGTGGAAGGCTCCAAAGCTGGAGTTATAGCCTACGATGCCTCCAAAAAAGGTGCCAAGGTTGCCTACGTGGAAGGCTCCAAAGCTGGAGTGATAGCCTATGATGCCTCCAAAAAAGGTGCCAAGGTTGCCGGCAAGAATGCCAAGATCGCCGCTGCCAGTGTGTCCAAGAGTGCCTCCAAAGCTGGAGTTAAAGCCTACGATGCCTCCAAAAGTGGCGCCAGTGTTGCCGGCAAGAACGCCAAAGTCGCCGCTTCCAGTTTTTCCAAGAATGCCTCCAAAGCTGGAGTTAAAGCCTTCGATGCCTCAAAAAGTGGTGCCATTGTTGCCGGCAAGAATGCCAAGATCGCCGCTGCCAGTTTGTCCAAGAGTGCCAAGGAGGCTGTGGCCAAGCGTAGGTCTGATGGCGGCAAAGGAATCGCAACTTCCTCCGCCCACAGCACCGCCTCGACGTCGAGCAACTCCACAAAGAAGGTCTCTGAAGGCGCCAAGGAAGCGGCCAAATCGGTATCCAGTGCCACCAGCAAAGCAGCTAGTGTGGCTTCCGATGGTGCTTCGAAAGCGGCTAGTGCAGCCTCTGATGCTTCCAAAAAAGCTGCAGCGGCATTCAGTAAGTTCAAGGCGTCAAATTCTCTCAAATCGCCGTTTGGCAAGAAGAAGAGCTCCAACAAGTCAAAAGAGGAAGGCAAGTCAAAAGAGGAAGGCAAGTCAAAAGAGGAAGGCAAGTCAAATGAGGAATGCGAGTCAAAAGAGGAAGACAAGTCAAATGAGGAAGGCAAGTCAAAAGAGGAAGACAAGTCAAATGAGGAAGACAAGTCAAATGAGGAGGGCAAGTCAAATGAGGAAGGCAAGTCAGAAGAAGAAGGGAATAGTTGATGCTGTGGTAGATTTATTTGTTCTAGCTACTTAGACCCAAGTTTGTGCACCTTAAAGGATCTCCAAAGCTGAAGTTGTAGCCTATGATGCCTCCAAAAAATGGTGCCAAGGTTGCCTGCGTGGAAGGCTCCAAAGCTGGAGTTATAGCCTACGATGCCTTCAAAAAAGGTGCCAGGTTGCCGGCAAGAATGCCAAGATCGCCGCTGCCAGTTTGTCCAAGAGTGCCACCTCGACATCGAGCAACTCCACAAAGAAGGTCTCTGAAGGAGCCAAGGAAGCAGCCAAATCGGTATCCAGTGCTGTCAGAAAAGCAGCTAGCGTTGCTTCCGATGGTTCCTCGAAAGCAGCTCTCGCGGCCTCTGATGCTTCCAAAAAGCTGCAGAGGCATTTAGTAAGTTCAAGGGGTCAAATTCTCTCTCGTCGCCGTTTGGCAGGAAGAAGAGCAACAAGTCCAAAGAGGAAGGTGATTCAAACGAGGAAGGCAAGTCAGACGAGGAAGGCAAGTCAGAAGAGGAAGGGAAAAGTTGATGCTACGGTAGATTTGTTCTATCTAGTTAAACCCAAGTTTGTGCGCCTAAAAGGTACATTCGGCAGTAGTTTTTTTGTGGCTTTCTCTCATCGTCACACTGCAGATGTCGTTGCCAAACTGAGAAAGCGCGGTCTTTTGTTTGATTTTGTGCCAGGTGCTGGTCTGCTTCATTTTCTCGACAAAGGAATTCCCGCTAGTCTCAAGTCTTTCCCAGGGACGGAAGGACTGGCTGTTCTGTATGCGACACCAAGCGTTTCAATGTCGGCTCTCCGACGAATGGCCCAACTGCGGGACTTGAGTTTCATGGCCACTCAGAACTGTTTGCCAGTGTATTTATGTTGTGGGATACTGGCACTGAATCACATTGGCGAGCAATCGCAGTCTCATCAAGTTGAGAGGGTGGTAGTGTCGTCCATCATTCGGCTCGGAATACGCACAGGATTGAATGTCGTGATCATTAAAGACGGCCACTTTCATGTCCGTATCCTTGTAGTTGTTTTGGTTGTACTGATGCACATATTCCAAGACGCGATGATTCAAATCTTTGACTCCCCATTCATCAAAGACTCCTTTTTGGCAATAGCGGGTCAAATTGGCATCTCCCAGTATGCTAGTTTCACCACGATGTTTGTTGTCATGACCATCCCGCAATCGCTGCAAGGTTCGTTCACACCTACTAATGGCGTAGGGATCTTGTCGTTGGTAGAGTGCCACGGCATCGGAATAGTCTCCCCAAAAGTTGTCAATGCACATGAAGTTTGTCGTTTTGAAGAGCAATAGTTTCACTTGACTGTCTTGCGCCACTTGTGTGACTTGTTCCAGCCACGCCGATTGGTAGTCGAGCCAATATTGGACCGCACAGAGTGGAACCGTACGGCCGTGCTCTGGATCGGACGCAATCAAATGCAACCAGTGCAATCCAAAATTGGCCACTAATATATCCGGTTGGATTTGTCGAATTTGCCTAAAAATGCCATCAAATTGACAGACTTGATCTTCTTCTTGGGGATCACTGCCGCCCCGATGACCCAACCACTGAATATGAGTGCCATCTTGTAATTGGACTTTCGCCAAAGTAGAATTGTCCCATCCCAGTTGCACGTCCATGTCCGGATTGACGGCGTAATTTCCCTTGGTCATGTCCATGCCCAACAGTAAATGATCCACCACGCGAGGCGATTGTTGCGTTGTATTTTGCAGGAGTGTTTGCATCCATCGGGTTAAATAAAATAAGGTGGAATCGCCCAACAGGACCATGCGCTTGCCACGAATCGTTTGATCCAATAGTGGGCTCGACAACCCTGGGAAATGCCACGAGGGATACTTGCGATGTTTCTTGTTGGGCAATACCCAATCGCGCAACGCGGTTTGTTCGGGACGTTCTTGCAAATCGCGGACGAATTGGGCCAGGGCTTCGGGAAAGTAGCGACATTCGGCGGTCGTGTTGATACTCGTCTTGGAATGCTTGTCTTGTGGCGGCTGTTGTTTGTACAGCGACGGAAAGCGCCACTTGTGACTCTTCCAAAACAGTCGAGTGGGTAGAATGCAAGCGATACACAGCAATACCAGACCATAGTGAAGATATTGCTTCCGGCTTTGAGGTACTTGAGGAACGGCAGCACCAATCATACTGACAGATATTTCGGAGGCACAATAATTCTGCTTCAATGATTTGATTCAATCAAATTGCAAACAAGCCTCCTTTGGAGGAGTCGAGTCTTATGCAACAGCAGGTAGGGACAATGGACCAGTCTTCTGATCTTTTGTCTTGGACCAACTCTTAGTATTAATAGCGACGGTAGCTTGGTTTATGTTGTGCCTGCAACAACAAGATTTGGCTGACGGGTTTCGAGTTTCGCTTTGGCTCTTTTGCCGTTTCTCAACTCCAAATGTGCCCTATCCCTACCGGTACGGTAAGTGCAGCGGACGAAACCTTGGGTGCAAGAACCACGGAGGACAGAAATCTCGGGGTAAACACAGGCCACAGTGCAGTCAACACTCACTAAAGTTCCACCCCCCAGCATTAAGAAAAAAACGGAACTTAGCTGAATTACGGAACTTTAGATCTTTGGAGCCCCATCTCGGCCCGTTCTTGGTCTTAGGACCCACTTGGGGTGGTTCCTGTCATATTCTATTGTTGTTGGGGGGAAAAGGAGAGATAAGCGGTCTTGGGGTGGAACTGCTTTGCTCCTATGTATGGTGTCTGTATTGTGTTGGACCAGTAGAACATGCTATGTGGCTAGCTAGTTTCGAGCTCTCTAAGATGCCTGTCATGAAAGATAGATGAAGAAACTTCATATATGTATAAATGAACAATCTGAATGCTGGTCCTAATTGGCAGCACTGTCTCAAACTGCCACAAAGCACATTCACTTGTCAGTCATGAGAACTAGTGACTCAGGGGGGGCAGCCCTGAAAAAGAGGAACTTTGTAGAGTAATGGAACTTAAGAAAACGGAACTTAAGTGAGTGTTGTACATCAAGGGGAGCTTCACGGGGTCGGAAGGACGTCGGATAACTCTTGTACCCACCCAGTCCGCCCTGCTCTGAAAGCAGTGTTCGATAGCAGGCGAAGTTCGATCTCCATGGAAAGGTGATTTGAGAGGAGCAGAGCCCGGTCCCAGTGCAATAAAACCCAGCAAAAGCTAATTTACATGTCATATGGGCACCCCCCTTGACGCATCATGCCACGATACTGGTCAGCTCTTTGCATCCATACATGTAGTAACTCTTGTTTGCTTTACTGCGTCACTTGGTTTGATGACTTCTAATAACTCTTAGTTAGTACTGATGCAGGATGCAGAATGCAGACTCTACTGTCCGCCTTTATTCTATGATGATCAGAGGACCATAGGGGTGGTATTGCCTTCCTCGTGGACCAAAGAGCTTCATCCACTTGCTAGAATCCACCGTTGCCGTTTCCTCCGTTGCCACCACCACCACCGCCGCCGCCACCATTTCCACCACCGCCGCCACCATTTCCTCCTCGGCACCCATTTCCTCTTTGCTGGCCTCCTCCTCCATTCTACAATACACAACAGTGACATTCGCAACGGAGCAATATTGTGAGGATCGAAGCAATCTAGCTAGATAGCAAACAGATCTTTGAGACAAGTCTACTTACATTTCCACGTCCTCCACCGCCGCCAAGATAATCCCACCAGTTGTGGCTTCTGCCTCCACCACCGCCACCGCCGCCTCCACCACCACCACGCGATGTTGGAGTGGGCTGACCACCATCTCGACAACCGCGTCCGTCACCTTCTCCTTGTTGTGAGTTACCTTGCTGTGAGTTTCCTTGTTGTTGCTGTGGCTGTCCATTGATGTTGTTATTGCCATTGCCACTTGATTCAAGATTGCCTTGTACTGCTGTCGAGACGGGAGGAAAGGTTCTAGGAGGAGCAGTTGTCGGGGCAGGAGCAGTATCGGTAGGTGACGAGTTGGTTGGTTCGTTGGTCATGGAAGCACTTGTCGGGGCGGGTGTGGGTGCATTGGTTGACTCATTGGAACTACTTGTGGTGGAAGGGGTGTTTGTGTTTGTCGGTATCGATTGGCCAATCTCACCCAAAGATGACTCTCGCAATGGCTCTGCAGCTGCTTCGATGGATGTGGCCGCATTATCACCGTTTTCTTGGAAGGACTCTGCAAAGATGTCGTCGTTATCGCCATTTCCAGATGTTGGAAGGGGAGGGGAAGTGGTGGGAAGCATGGAAGGAGCGGTAGTCAAGACCAAATTGGTGATGTCGTTATCATCTGGGGAAGTTGCAGTGAAGTTGCTTTCTACAGAGAAGTTGCTGTTGATACCTTCAATCTCAGTGGCAGTGGCATGGGTGTGTGGATCAAAGGATCGAATAATGTGCGAGACTCCCACGATGGATCCGATCAGCACAAGCAAGGAGAAGCAAACCTTTCGCTGCAATGCTCCCCATACTCCTGACTTGGGGACGCCGCCCATGGAGTTGGCTGTGGCGTACACGGGAGGAGTGTACTCCGACGCCAAAGTTGGATCGTCCAAGGCGCTGACCTTGGTTTGTTGGTCGAAAACGTCAACGGATGTCAAATCGTCCGTGCCAGCAAGAGACTCACCCTGCTCCACATCTTTGGTGACTTCGCCGGGAGCCATAGGGACCACTGGAAGGAAAACCTCGGGCATGGGAGAACCAGATCGATGCATCTTGTTTCAAAGAATTCTTTGGGGGAGCTGATCAGTTTTGGTTGGTTGCTTGCAAAGAAGCGAAACAACAAAATTGTGAGCCTTTTTTCTTCGCAAGGGAAGAGGGCAAGGGGACATGTCGTGCCAACCAGTTTTGACGGGACATCGCCTTGGACAGCATGGGTTAGCTATGGGTTACACAACGTCTGTACTCCGAGTGTATGGAAAAGGTATCATTCTGACTGGTTTCTTCCACCCCAGGTGAACCTTATTACCTCGCTCCAATGGAATCTTGACATTCATTCGTTCATATGCGACTAAATTGTTTAACTGATCATTACCCCTCGTTTGTGCCTCGTTAAGTGGTTTGCGATTGCCTGGATTGCTCTTTGCTGTGGACGTGACACGCATGAGGCACGGTCTCACATTCCTTTCAAATCAATCGTTCGAAAATCAGCCGATGGTTTGTTGCTCCTCCTGTTGATAAAAGCTCTTCGAGGCAATGGTGGTACGAAGTGCAACGAATGCTTTTGGTAATACTATCGACCTTGTGCTGCGGCCGCGCCTCGACGAGAGCCTTCTGTTCGGCAGTCATCGATTGGATTGGCTTGATTGAAACATGCACCAGTCGTCACCTCATCACCGCCTCACCTCCTTCCTGGACAATCGTAACGATCTTCTTGTGGTACCGTGAACACGCGTTCACGCCACGGTACTAGCTAGTACCCTTGACTTTCAGCTACTTCCCCCATGAACTTGGCTCTTGGCAGGAATCAGAATCTTGAATCTAGCCAGTCAACTTCGAGAAAAGACACTGTCTCTGAGCAGGATGGAGAAGTACCTGTATCCTTTCCTGTGCGCGAGCTTTCCGTTTTCGGTCTGGCTAGCCAGCTAATAAACGGCGAGCAATGACGAGCCTTCCTCCTCACAACGATGTTGATCACATGCTCGTAGCTCCGCATCCAAATGCACCATCTTGTTTCCTCGTGTAATCGCGACGACTTGCTCTTCCCAGGCGCGGTGAAGCGTCCTGATCTTCCTCTGGGTCATACGTACCGCTACCGACACGCGGTAGCTTTACCAGTACAAATTGCTCGGCCGCGGGAAGGACGAACGTATGCTCAACCCGAAGAGTTCATTCTATTACGCAAGATTCATGCGAAGACCAGGGCAGCTAATGGTTGTGAAGCAGTTCGATGGTTCCCGCCCTCCTGGGTACTCGAGTATCCTGGGTACTCGAGTATCCTGGGTACTCGAGTAGTTCTATTTTAAAATAGACGAGAAGGCAATCTTGCCATGGCTCTTCCTCCCTCTCGGCTTGATCCTGCACACTGCACACAATCTGGCTGGCAAGTTGCATTGGTTCCAGCCAGCCAACTCTTCGTGGCACCACAAGCATCACTTTCTCATCCAAAGGTCCCTTCAAATGCAGTAAAAAGTGAGAGTGCTGCACCATCTGGCTGATCAGTTCATTTAATCCAGTCAGCCAACTCTTGGTGGCACCACAAGCGCCACTTTCTCATCCAAAGGTCCCTATCAAACGAAGCAAAAGGTAATAGTTGCTACGCGATGTGCCTGATCAGTTTCATTTGTTCCAGTCACCAACTCTTGGTGGCATCATCAGCCAAAACTCCCTCAAACAGCTGAGATCACGTTCGCAGCGGAGTTCAACATCATAGACTCGTATCTCCGTGCCAAGGTACACCGCATTGTTGAAATGAGAGGCAGAGTATTAGGTTAGGTCGCTTGCTTGACACCCAGGCGTTTTCCCCGTGAAGGTTGTTCCAGTGCCTAGCTAGTAGCTAGAGTCCCGTTGCAACATAGGTGAAGCGTCCTGGCTGTCCCTGGTTCTTCATGTCGCACGATGCCAGCCACAGAGCGGCCGGAAGCCCAGTGAAGCGAAAGTATCGCAATGTGGCCCTTCCACAGACAACGGTACCATATGTACGGTAGCTTTAGCTCCATCTGTACCTGCACAAGAACAGCCTCGACGTGAGTTAACTCACTCAGCCATGACAAGTCTTCTTGCCTTCGGCTCGCGTGTTTTCAGTCAGGATGATCCGATCATCTTTCATCGCCGAAAGGAAGATCACCAAAGCCCGTCTCAAGTCCTCTCGCGAGTGATTTTCATTCAAGGAGCTGATGTTGCTTTGATGGCGCCTGAGAGTAGAGGCAACCCCACTGCTTCCCTTCCCAATTGCTGCGTTTGATGCTTCTATCTTCAGTAGCGAGATTTGCCCTTTGGCTTATACAGGTAGCTAAGGTAAACCCATAGTTAAGAACAAAAATATTATCATATGTTTGTTACCGCATCCACGGGTACAAAAATTTCGCTGCCGGCATGCCGTGGAATGCTGCCCCCCCTGTACCCTGGCGGCATTCTTTGGATCCAGATCTTGATGGTTTCCAACTCTGACGCAGATCATCTCAGATCTCCCCTAACCAGGCAACAGAGTCCTGGGTATCACGCAACCACCACCATGAAGATGACCAAACGAAGTCCTAGACGGCCGCCAGGACGTGCCATTCCGCCTCTTGCGATCTTGTTGGTGATCCATGTTTTGGTGGGAATACAGGAGTCCCTCGCCTTTCAGACACCTCTGGTTTCCACACCTACTACATCTACTATTAGATCCCCACTGATTATTCTACAAGCCAAAAAGGGCAAACAAAAGAAATCCAAAAAGGGGAAAAACAATCAGAATTCTGGGTTTGCCTGGGCCAGTGGTTTTACGTTAAAACCATTCGAAGGGCAAGCCCTAAGAGAGTTGGCAACTTCAGCCTTGGCATCGTTCGAAGGTCGGACCCAGGCACCCTTGGCACCGGAATTATCCGGCGTCACAGATCCACCCAAGGCACTTTGGAATGCCCCCGTGGCTTGTGTCATTGCAGGGCTTCCGGACAAGGAATCAGTGCCCACTGATGCCGCCAATCTACTGTATGCCAATTTGGCTGCCTTGGAAATGATGGGTTTGCAGGCGGAGGACTTCGAACGATTCTGTCCAGCTTTGGCACCGATGATTACCAAAGGAGAAATCGATCCAGCAAAGGTCATTACTATTGATCTTCCCAATGAAATGAAAGGCGACAAAAAGTATCAAAAGGGGTACGAAAAGAAGATTGTGCGGAAAAGCGACAATCACCCAAATGATATTACTATTCTCAATGCTCATCGCTGGGCTTTAGAAAAGAGTGCTCTAGTGGACGGCAAATTTGTCGCCACAACACTGGGAGTTGCCTATGCCTGGGAGGAATGGCTTGTGGGAGAATCCACCGTATGTTCCAAGGGTGGAAAACAACGAGTACTCGTCAACGTTTCCGATTTGGAAGCAGAATTGGAACAACAAGCCGCTTTTATTCGTCAGCTCAAAGAAGAGAAAGGACTGGGCAATAAGGACCCAAAAGTCGTGCAAGCCGTGGATAAGTTGCTCCAGTTGAAGGATCAAATCGCTGCTGCAACCGAGTCAAAATAGATTAGATCCAGTACGTACCGGACGATGGTGTCAGTCAGCTGCAACACTCAATCGCAATCAAACAATTAGTCTTTGATAAAAGGGGAGCTCAAACCTCGTTGGCTACCGTAGCCCAGTTGAGCGGACGCAGTATCTCTGTACAACTTTGCCGGGAATGTGAACACACTCTGTACCATTCTGCCCGCCAACAAGAAGTGGCGTGAAACCTATAGAAAAGATACACATGTCATCTAGCTAGTAGTAGTGTTCAAACTAAGCAACAAGGTTCAATTGCCATGGGTCCATGACGTGTGCTATGGCGTTCTATATTTGCCTCCCCTCCATCCCTGGTGCACTTGGCAAGCAGTTAGCTCGTCCAGAAACGATGGTGCTTCTGCTCCGCTTGCACTGTCCATCATGATCCAAAAAACGGCAGGTTGCGATTGAACAGTCGATCATTTAACAAAGGTTGCTGGCTTCTTGTAGTCAACAATAGCCACACTGTGGACGAGGGTATACAAGTTTTGAGAAGATTTCGAGAGCTTTGTCCAGGCATGCTCTCAGGAAGGCCCGGTCACGCGACTGCTGGTCACCAAAAATTAGCATAAAGTCACACACAGCATCAAAGTCGCATCAAAAGTCGTATATAAAGTCGCATGCGAGTCGCATGAAAGTCGCGTGCGACTTTCTCGCACGACTTTCACAGTCGCGCAAGATTTCTTTAAGCAAGGTGACAGAGTCGCGTAGGATC